TGATGAGGAATTGGCTTTATGCACCAAGATATTCTTATTTAATATGTTCTAGACTTGAAATGTTGCATTTAAAAGTGGGCTAAATGAACCCTACAGACTCTGACAGAAACTATTAAGTGGATTAAGAGAAGGTGGTAGGTGTGTGTGTTGAATGACTGAGTTTCATTGAAGAACTACCCAAGCTGAAAAGAGGAACTAAATTTAATTGGAATAAAAACAAAAATTTACAATTTGAATAGTAAATATGAATTGAAAATAAAGAACTCACTTGAGTCGAGTTCTGAAATTATGATAAAGATTCTGGAGGATTTGTTTTTAATGATTGGAGCATTATAATGAAATTAAATATTAATGGAGGAACTATGTAGTATATAACATAAACATTACTGTCATATCCACATTGTTTAAATTATTGTTGCTTAATCACAATAAGCCACAACTGATTCAGTCCACAAAAGACTTTCATCCATAAACTATGGCTTACAAACTGCAATACTAAATGCTAAAACAAAACAAACAAACGACATAACTGCATTATATGAATGAGACCATAGTTTTACAGTAGGTGTCATAAATAAACCTAAGAAAACTTGAATAATCAGCTTTTAGAGTTGTTACAGATCAGAGCTAAATTGGACTAATCTTATTTGAATCTACAGTATTTTATGAGCCATTCCATGTTTTATTGAGTTGGATTAGACCAACTATTGGCCTGAATGGGTATAAGTCATCTCCTTATGTTCTTTATTATGGCATATAGGGACAAATTGTCAAAAAAGATCACCATAAGAAATGTTTTTGTTTTCTGATCTTTTGGATAGAGGCCAAATGGTGGGAAATGTTTTATGGCTCAGTAATTCAATATAATGAATGCATTGCAGGTGGTGAGAATATGCACCATGACTACTTCTCCAAGAACACCCTCTGCTTCCAAAAAGTAAGTCAAAGAATTAGATGCTGATTTCATATGTCTTTGTTGTTTTCCTTTTCATTTATCTCAAGAGTAAGAATGTTGCAGAGCACGCGTAGACCTCCCAGCACCCCATTTTTAGTTTCCAGAGCCACACACTCAGGAATAGTCATATTTTTGAAATTTTTGGCCTTTGTTGGAGTTTATGGATTTATTTGTTGTTTTGGGAGTGACACCTGCTCCAAAATCAGGCCACTGTTTCTCTTTAAGGGGCTTAAAATGGCATATTATACTGTGCTTTTTAACCCCCCTAAAACACACACACACACACACACAAGACCACAAAGTTTGATCTTGCCCATTCTGGAGATGTCATGATGTTATTGGTTGGTGGACCAAGGCCAGAAAGGTTGCTCACCGCAATATGGCTTTCAGATCAGTGTAACTAGAACCCCAATTTACTCCCTAGGTTTTAATGGGGCATTTTTAATCATCTTAGGCTTCCTGTTTCTTGTGTAAGCCTGTATTGTATGTAATAGATTAGTGTCTTTACATTGTAACACTTGTATGTGTTACAATATTGTTATAACCTGTTGTGAGTTCTAGGTAAAGGATAGGCCACTGAAATTTGAGTTTCTTGAACCCTGCACCAAATACCTGCAGAAATGTTTTGAATACAGAGGTTTGTATTCTATATGTAAATACAGCTGTGTCTGGCAGTAACCCAGCAATGGGCCCATAAGAGTGAACAGTTTGGATTCCTTCATTAAGGTGTACAGTTATCTAATTACTCACTTTTTCCAAATTGAATGAAAATAAATGCTCCCCTTCTCATATAATGAAACAATCCTAATCTAGTGTCTAAAATAGCATATCTCTGCATTTGTTTGTTGTAATGCAAGTATTGGGTTTTATAGTTTTAGTAATGTTAATTGGTGTTTTTTTTTGGTATCTAATAATGTTTCTCAGATCAAACACTCCATATGGCTCGTCCAAGGGTGCTGTGCCCCCTTCTCCTCACCAAAGTGATTCTACCCCTCTTCCTTCAATCAATGAACGCCTGGCCTACCTTCGCCCCTCCCGGGAGCTGCTGGAGTACTATCGAAAGAAGATCGCAGAATTTGATGAAGAGCATGAGGCACTGGTGAAACGCTTGGAGACATACAAAGCATCTTATGATGATCAGGTAGGAAAAAGGGAGTGATAATCTACCAAGAGATAGGTGGATTGGAAAGCCATGTAAGGAAGCTTTAAAGCTTACTCCTTTGTCCTTTTCCTTAATGCAATCTTGATATCTTTACCACTTTGAATTTTCTGCAAAAGCTACATAAAGGGCATTTTTCTACTGAAAAGTATTAAGGAGAAATACGAATTATCTGGAACCTGGTTCCACCTGCTATATTCTGAATCCTCATACATTTAAAAAAAAAACTGCTTTAAATCATTGATGGTGAAAGAAGCCTTCATCCAGCTTAGTTTTTAAAAGAATCAACATGGACTGAAGCATTATTCTCCTCCTTCCATCTTCCTTTTTCATTCACAGTCTTAACAAGAGAATTCTAGTCAGGCCTAAATTAAGCCAAAACTATATTTTTTAACATATGTAATTTGTTGGAGAGGGGGGGAGGTAGATTTAGAAAGCAAGCAGGAAAAAAAATGTTTTTCATGAGATACGTATGCATTTTCCAAGCAGATGAGCAGATGTGACGTCAAAGAGGTTCAAAGTGCTGTCTTTCTGTGTATATATATATGTGTCTGTGTGTGTGTGCATGCACATGCATGCATTGTGTTAGTGAATCTTAAGTTACTATATTACATTACCTAATTGATAACTTTGTTGCTGCTTTAGTACTCCCTACTTTATTACTCCCAATACTCCGAGATGAAGTGTTGCTTTTCTTTAGGGTATTGTCTTTCCTAGCAAGAAAAGGAGGCACCCAGGAGAGTGAGAGGTCAGTTGAGCAAGTTTTTGCATACAAGTAAAGAAGGAATATGAAACAAGATTTTTATGGCTCAGTCTTTTCCTGGCGTATCCTGCTGGGAAGGTGATCCACAGTTGTATATTTTAGTTGTAGACTATGTTCCTCAAGAATGGGAGAGATCAGTTGCTGTTCTGAAGTAGACAGCTGATATCTTTAGCATGGCAGTTTTGTATTCATATTTTAAGCCACTTTTCTCCTCTCTTGATTCATTTCCTGATCTTTGATTCAGCTAAGCCAATACCATAGTAATTATTCTGGCTCAGAGTAGCTCTGCTGGGCCTAATCTGTTACTTAGAAGCATTTTTATTGAAGATGCCACAGGCTTAACTTTTGCATCAGCAAAGTATGTTCTCTACTCATCCTTGGCCCTGACCAAATGTAGAAAAGTGAATAAACTGAGCAGTTTACAGTTAGAGAATTCAGTCTAGGTGCTAAGAGAAAGGAAAGTGGAACTAAATAGAAGAAAATAGGAGAAATATTAGAAGTGTAGAAAAAGTAATAATTGTAATAGTGCTAAGAGAGGCATGGACAGTTTGCTCAAAAGCTACTAGAACTTCCATTGAAGTTAGAAGTCTAGAAGACAGTTCCTAGCAAATACAATAGGTGGTTAGAGTGAGGAAAATATTTGTCACAATTTGCAGAGCATGATTAAGCACCTTCTTGACAGAGAATTCTTAAATGCTAGCATTCTGCCAGACAGTTGCCTTGGGTTTGAGATGGATCATGATAATGAGACTTGTGTTCTACTTTGGTTTCAACTGACAGGTGATTAATAATATTTTTTATGTGCAGCACAAGTTACAATGGGAAATGCGTCAGCGAGAAGAAGAAATTGCAGAACTGCAGAAGGCTTTGAGTGACATGCAGGTATACCTTTTTCAAGAAAGAGAGCATGTGCTGCGCCTTTATGCTGAAAATGATCGGCTGAAAATCAGGTTTGTGGCCTGGTCTGAAAGACTGAAAAATGGAGATGCTAAGAGATTACCTTTGATAGAATCTATAGATTTGAAATATATTGAAGTTTTGCACATGGACAAAAGATGCTCATGAATGGATTATAGAGGAGAGCAATATGCTTCTTCGTTACCTTTTTATTTCAAGATGTAGGAAGATAACTGGTTTTTGCTTCTCTAATGTGAAAAGATCTGTGACAAAGATCATGGTACATACTGTCAGTGATAGGCTGAACTTACAAAACCCTTCATTCCTCTGCTGTTGTCTTGAGAAGACTGCAAATGTAGCTTCTCTTGTCACTGGAACTACAGTATATATCAATGTAGGACACCACAAAGACTATTTTTTCTCTTACCTAAAACATTGTCTTTACTGACTGGATAGAAATGTTGAAAATAAATACATCCAGTTGAGTAAGAGAGCTATCTGTTTGGTTCACGTTAATAGACTACAAACACAATAATCAAAAATTACCAGAAAAAGAAAAGGGCCAGGAGATCCATTTCACATGAAAAACAGTTTCAAAGAAATTGGATCAATTTACTCAGAAGTCTTCCTCCTTGCCCCTTTGTTTGAAAAAAAACCCAATAACTTCATTCACGTACGGACAGTTCATACTTGTCAGCTGTTCACCGGTACAAGTCAAACACACAGGACTTCTTCAAGTGATGTAATACATTTGTTTTCGTAACCCAGCCTGATTACCTTGCATATGCTGTGGGATGTTACTTTTTACAATCCCATCATGATGGGAATTTCAGAATTACAATCGGGACTGATATCGGCTTCGGGAGACACTGCAGAACATTTCTGCTATATGTATGTCTCAGTGCTAAAATAGAACCTCCCCTTCCAAAGCTAGTCTTTGCATCATGTAGACTTGTTTCCAAAAAAGTAATTTCAGAAACAGTCTGACTTTAAGCAGTCTCTGCTTTATAAAATGGTTTGCTAACATTGCCTCCTGGTGGCTAAAGATTCAAGTTCACATTCTTAGTAATAAGATGCTACTATAATCTCCATTAGTTCTTTCTGAAATAGAAGAAACTTAGAGGGAGAATATCTTCAGCAGAGGAGAAATTACATTTAAAAGGCTGTGTTTCCAACCATTTGTTTGCCAGAGAATTTTCATGAGACCTTACATGATCAGATTCTACAAGACAGAAAACTTGTAGAGTATGTGCAGTAAAAGGCTTGCTTTTTAAAGTTTAGATGGGCCTTGAAGTCAACAAAAAGTGCAGGATACATCAGTATTTAGCAACAAATAAATTGCCTTATTTTAAATGCATTACAGGGAATTAGAGGACAGAAAGAAGATTCAGCATCTTTTGGCTTTATTAGGAACAGACAGTGGTGAAATTACCTATTTTCACAAGGAGCCACCAGATAAGGTAAATGCCCATCAATTCACATAGATATTTTTATTTGATTATTTCTCTTATTTTTTTTATAAAAGAAATTACATTAGCTACATTATCATTGATGGCTTATAAAGGAATTTTAAACAATTATACTATAGCTGGTGTGGGTCTTCCGGGCTGTGGCCATATTCTGGAAGTTTTGTTTCCTAACATTTCGCCAGCATCTGTGACCGGCATCTTCAGAGAGCAGGAGCACAGACAGGAGCAGTTCTC